TAGTTGTAATAATTTTCAGAATTTTTTAAGATATACACATTTTCTCTTCCTTTTTTGATTTTATGCATTTATTATATATCTATATCGAAAGAAATAAAATAAAATTGTCTCAAGATTTATTGTCTGAAATAGTACTCATTGTCAGTCAATTAATTTATGAGGCATAATATCACTTAATTTAAATGTAAGAAAAGAGCAAAACTTTAGGCTTTTTAAAATGTTCATCGGACATTTCAAACAGATATTGAAAATTTAAATAAATGCGTGATTATATATCCAACATACATTTATAATTTATCTAAATGATTGTTTTGTCATTTTAAATTTTAAGTACAAATTAGATATCTGTCTACAAAATATATGCGTATATTTTTCAAAATTTTGATATATATTCCAAAATCTATTGATATAATCAAACTTCAAGCATTCATGACTAAATAAGTTTGATGAATAATGTATAAATTTTGGTTTCTGAAAAACGTTAAAGAAATAATTTATTTTTTTGAACTTTAACACGCTTTAAAATTGTATCAGTTATATCGTCAATTATTTTCATATATAAATTAAAATTTGGTTTGGTGTATTTTACTTTTTTTAGTACTTGTTTTTCCAACCGATACTTTGAGAACTTATATCTCATATATAAAATTCTTCTGTAATGATGTATGCAAATATGCTCCTCCTAAACGATTATTCGGATTTTGATAAGTTTTTCTGAAGTTTGTTAAGGTTTTTTTTTAGAATGTATGTGATTATAAAAATATAGTAATATTGAAGAAATAATGGAAAAATTGCAAAAAACAACATATAATTTTTGACATTGAAAACATTTTGATACACGAGAACTGTCATTTCTTATTTTACACATTATTTTTTTTAAACTTATGCATGCTGTATTTTGCTTTACTTTACTAAATTATTTAAATACAAAAGAATATTTCTACTTATTGAAAAAATTATTTAGAATTTTGTTTCACGTGACAAAAATTCATTTGTTTCAAGAACTCAGATTGAACAGCGCCATATGAACTAGATTTTACAAAATCATTTATCTTAGATTTTAACTAAGTAGTAATGTTTATTGAATTATTAGTAAGAAAAATGTAATTTAAAACTGTATTTGCCAAAAGCAACTAATATTGGGTACGCGTTTATAAAAATTATAGACTAATACAAATTATATAAATTATTTATGCAATATATTGGTTGGAAATAACAAAGGTGATATTGTTCTTTTACCGTAGATAAATATTTATTCTTTCTGAATTTCTTATACTTACCAAAAAACTGCATTTTTCAATACGTATATAGCTTATGCTAATAAATGGAACGACTTTAAATAAAATATTGAAAGTAAAGGATATAATATTAAAAAATTGAAACTTTAATAGACACGTGGGTAAAAGACAACGTCTGTCGGGTAATCTAGAATCTAAATAATATGACAATCAGATATCTCAAAAATTGGTATGATTTCTATATTTTATATTTTCCTAATTTCTGTTCTTATTGTGAGAATAGTCAGATTGCGACCCATGGTTTTAAGTTTATTATCAATTATTAACCTTATATTATAACAATCTTGTACCTGATAATCGTTAATTTTTATGATTTCATTCAAAAATGCATTAACATTGTGGAGTAATAAATCGCGACTCTCAATAATGAATTTCTTAGTTGATGTCTAAATTCAATTTTGACGCAAGTTCAGTACTTATTTTTGTCTGCAAATAAAAAACTTAATAATAAATACATTATAGCATAATATTATTATTATTTTAGGCGAATTACCAAAAAACACAGATGCTGAATCTTGGAACGATAGCGATGCTCTAAATTTACTATTTAACGTCTCATCCAGCATAAGACCAGAGAAGCCCAATTTAACCTTAGAAACAGCAACACTTAGGTAAGAAACCAGCATCTTGTTAACATTTCTGGCGCAATTTCCACCCTCAGTCGTAATAATCTTACATATCCTTGTAATAGAAATCTCTTCCATGTGTTCTTGGCCCGCATTTAGCTCTGCAGTAATAATTTGGAGTACTGCCAACGTTTTCATATATATTTTGCAACAAAGTATAAATCCTTTTGAAGTTTTGTACGTAATATCAATTTGTGTAGGTAATTAAAGTATTGTACACTGTATTTTTGGGTATCATTACCCATTTGTTAAATGAATTGCACATTATTTGAAAATTTGCCAAAAGGAATTTGCGAATTATAGTGACTCAAATTATATTTAGTTCCTGTTATGTAATAACCAAATGCAATTTCAGGATATATATAATCTCTCCGGATTCTGCAAATTCAAAACATCGTTCCAGAAACGACGATCAAATCAGAATATCAGTGTCATGGTACACCAGGTCGCTGAAGAAACAAAGAGGTAAGATTGATTTTCACATTTTTGTTTTTTTTATATCATAGTCTTCGATGTGAGCTGTTTTCATTAAATTGATCAAATTTCTCGAATCATCGCTTTTTAATTTAAACGATTCTTGTAAAATGAATCCCGAAGATCGTAGATCGAGACATGGAATATGAGATTTAAGTAAGTTTCTCCCATAGGTACATTCTGCGCATTGATAAAATGCGTTTGTATTTATGTGAAGGTTCATTTTATACGACATTGAAATATAAAACGAAGTCTGAAGATATTTGAAACTTCTGATTACGCGCGGTTTTGTAATATTACTTGTAAACAGATTTTAGGTTCGTAATAGATGCACGTAATAAGTTATTGCATAAATTATGAAACGCATTGTTTAATAGATAGAACTAATAAATTTTTCGAAAAAGTTCATATTTTTGCCAGCAAATCCGATTTGGAAAACTAAAAAGTTCCACATAAAAATTCGAAAATGTATGTTTTTGAGTAATTAAACTAAAATTTGACCTTTCATCGTCAACTTTTTCTCAAAAACAACTGCGTCTATTTAAAAAAAAGTTCTGAGCCATATTTGATGGAATTTGATGTGGATTTGGCTAATTAGTAATTCGGATTTGGTTTTTTCCAAATTAGCAGAAATTTTCTAAAATTTGTCCAAAATTCTTGAGCAAGTTATGAAAATTTAAACACTTTCAAAAGGTCTGAATTGGGAGTCGGGCTCATTTGTTTATGATACAAATCGGCAGAGCAGTATCTTTGTAGTTAGTTGTCGAAAACTTTAGTGGTCTCGACGAACATCCTAAAAAATTATACGCCTACAATAATTATAAAAATCTTAAAAAGTTTGGAATGATGCATCTATTTAAAAAAATTCAAATCCATATTTGATGGACTTCTAAAAGGATTTGATTTTGCTGATTAGTTTTTTGCTTTATACATAATTAGCAGATACGTGCAATAAACTTTGTCTAAAATTTTTGAATAAATTTTGAAAATTTATCAAACCAGATCAAAGGTCACAATTGGGCTGATGGGTTTCTGGTAAAGATCGACTGGGCTGTTTCTTTGTAACTAATTGTTGAGAAATTCTATAAATTTGTCCTGATGAATATTCTAAAATATTATAGACCTACAATTGTTATAAAAATTTGAACTGATGAGTCTACCAAATTACAAAATACCATTGTCACAATTGCTAATATTCAATTCTCATTTATTAGTTCGATTATTTATGCATCTGGAAGGTTTTTAAATTTGCCTTAAGTCTAAATGTCCATTACACTTAGTTTCTTCAAAAAGTTATAGATTCAATACATGTTAAACAGAATTAACTATCTTACGAGCAGTAAATAATAAGTGTTGATCAAAATGCGACGCAACATTCCAAGGGCGTTAGAGCTTAAAGTTTCCAGAATTTTCAACAGTTTTTATTAATAATATTTTCTCCTAATATTTTCAGTAAAAAGGAAGCTATCTGATTCAAAAATGGTGCATTCGTCTTTTACCGGTTGGATAGAATTAAATTTAAAAGGAGCGGTTTCTTCCTGGAAAACCACGGCGAGGAACCATGGAATTGCTATCACTGTTGAAGATCAAGAGGGCAATGCGCTAAGAGCAGACTCTTATATTCAAAAACACGATTGTGCAAATTTATGTAAGTACTGACTTCAAAACATATTTATTTACTTTATTTACTAACAAAAATTTCATTAAAATTTTCATATTTTTACACTCATTTGCAAAGCGTTAGGGGGTATTTTGGTCTAAAATTTATAAAGAAACGATTTTCTCCATTTTTGATATTTTAAAAAATAACTAATCAGGATTATGTATATAAGATGATTTTTCTAAATTTAAATTATTTTCAGTGATGATCCTGTTTAGAGAAATTTTACGGGAGAGTTTGACCAAAAATTACGAAACATCACGTGGGGGAGGGAGGGGTCGTGTTATTATATTTTACGTGTATTTATTTTCACCTGAATTACAACAAAACAAACGTTTTCAAAAAGAATTGAAATATTTCAGGATTTTTTTTAAAAATACACGAGTAATTTTGAGTATCACCATGAGGGGGGAGTCCAAAATTTTTCAAAAAATCTTTAAACGCATTTTTCTCGTAACTGTTTTTTTATACGATGCCCATGATTTCTTAACTATTACAGAACCGATAAACTTGAAATTTTCAAAGAGTCTTTTATATATTTATTATACAATTTTTTAAAATATGTAATATAACTATCTACATATTTCGATTTTCACTTATTTTTAAAAGTTGAGAATATCACAAAAATTTGTAATGAAAATATTTTTCGACATTTTTAATATAGCGATAATATTCTAGATTAATTATTTCATATATTATTATTTTATTAGTTATCTTATTAATACGTTTTTATAAAGATAACATGAAAATTGAATTCTGACAAAAAAAATTGTCTTCAATACACCTTAAATTTGCCTTGATGTGTAAATTTTTCCTCAATACATGATTATCTCATATCAAAATTACAAATCGAGAATATAGATCAAATTATATTCATTTACAGTTGTAAATTAATTAATTAATTATTAGTTATTTGTGTACTTCATTTATTATGAGATAATTGCGAAACTTATTTGCTTCTTAACCCGCTTTCTAATTTTTATTTGATTTGGGTAATCAAGAATTTTTTTTCGGGTTATTTGGAGGGCTATAGTCATGGGTATAATCAAGTGTCAATTTTTTAAGATCTTTAAGCAATTAAGAGTTTTTGAGCTTATAATTAATTTTAGTCGTTTAAAGAAGCAAATATCGACGCTTTCAAAAAAATTATAATTTTATTTAAATTTATAATATATTACCAAATTTTAATGCTTCTAATTCCTTCACTTCAGCTAAAAAAATAATTATCAAATTTTCATTTGTTAGGTTTGATGTCAAATTTCTATTTACGAATGCTGTTTTGAATCAGAGAAATATGTTATACAAATATCTTTGGGGACAAAACAAAAATAGTTTTATTAACAACTAGTTGTTTAGAAGTAACTTTTATATAGTCTATAAATATATGTTCAAGCTTACTGACGTACAACTAATGCTTTTAAATTTTCAACGCATAAATCATGCAAGTTTTTTAATTTAATATCTAAAATAAATTGTAGTAACTTCAGCGGTAGCGGAATTTTATATAAAAAATATTGAAAAGTTTTTCTTAATTTGTTAAAAGTAGATAAATTGATGTATTTTCTTACATGTATACTAGAACGTATGTTTAATATATAATTTGTAAAAATATATTTTTGATTAGTTTTGTAAATAATTATTATATTTTACAAGATCCCTTGTCAAGGGCATTTTATACCTATTGATGAATATACTTATAGCTGTATTGGTTATAGAATTAATTATTACTATAATATTCAAGATTTTGCACATAAGCTATTCATATCAAATAAGCAATTTGAAATTAGATTCTTTAATTATTATGATTAATAAATTTTAGATCCTCGTCCATTTCCCTGGCTGGTCCACAAGAAACTACCTTACGACGACACGGATATAAGTTACCGGTAATTAAAGTTTCAAACTTTAAACTTCACCACAACTGGAAATATTAATTAATATTAAATTCTAATTCAATTTTAGATTTCCTCGCCTCGATATTTTAACTCGAGAATTAGTCGACTACAACTATCAAGGTTTGCCAAGTTTGGTAGAAAACATCCACAATGCGCCAAGTGCGCACCAAGCTGGACTTTGAAATTAAATCAGATATAGAATGTTAATGGAAAGGATTGAAGATCTGTAAATAAATTTTATTTGTTACTGTTTACTTACTAAAATAAGTCTGAATGTTAATCTAGAGTGATTTTCGATGAATTGATTAGATTAGACAGCCCCAAATTTAACCTACGGGTTATCTATTTTCGGGTCATGAGTGTAAAGGATGAATGTCCTAGAATTATTTATCATAAGTTATCCTCTTAATTATTTAAGACCAGTGACTTTTGGCTTAAGTTAAAAGTATATGGAATTTTTCTGTTCAACTTCTATTTATTATTTATAATCATTCACCAAATTAATTTTAACTTAAGAAAAAATATTTATTATTTAAGATAGAATTGTTTGATAGATAGTATTGATGTTGTATATAAACTTAAGTAATATTTATTTTTATATTTTTTGTTAAAAAGTTATAAGTTATATTATGTAGTTCCACATGACAAAGTTAGATTATATTTTTAATTTTTACGAATAATTTTTTGTTAAAAAAATTATTTTCAAATTCAATTTGTACGTAATTAGGTTTACTTATATAATACTCAATACATCTCAAATATATTGAATAATTTTAAATTTAATTTTATTAAATGTATATAGATATATATTCTTAAATATATTTCACATATTTGATGAATCAATCACATTGTAAATATAGATTAAGTGTTACATCATAGATTATTGAAAAGATTATAATTATATATGTAGTTATTATAAAATTGTAAATATTATATTTTATAATAAATGTTATAATGATGTAGTAATAATGAAATTATATTCAATATGTTATTAATAAGGGATGAATTTTGTTCAAAACTTTTCCACTTTTCAATATAAGAAATTTTTCAAAATATGATTTCATTAATTCTCACCAGCTTACAGTGGAAAATAAAAGCTTACAGTGCAAAAGAAGATATTTTGTTGTATTTTTATTAATTAATTTGAATATTTTGTGTCACATATTCTTGCATTTTTTAAATTTTAGCAACTTGAAGGAGAATCATATGAGATACCCAATTTGTAAATTTTTTTTATAATAATGACATTAGAAATTTCAAAATTGAATTTCTACAAACCAAGTATACGTTTTTTTCTTACCTTTAACTTCATGTGTAAATTTTTCCGCAATATGTGATTTTTTTTTTAAAATTACAAATCTAGAATATAGGTCAAAATATATCCATTCTCAACTATTATTAAATTAATAATGATATATTTGGATAATTAATTTGCTATGAAATAATTGCTAAACTTGTTTGCTTTTTTTAACGCTTTCTAATTTTTATTTATTAGGTTTGGGGTATCAGGAAAATTACAGGACTTTCAGATTTAGCAATTTGCTGTGGCCAAAAAATAAGGTAAATATATTTTTAATTAATTTATATTATTTACATGCTTATATGTTTTACATGCTCATAGGTTTTTCTATTTTTAATTTCAGTAATTTGAATGAGAATTAAATAAAACGTCAATATTTAATGTTTTTATGAACATGATATTAGAGATTATTCAAAATTGAATATAATTCAACTTTACATGTAAGTATACTTTTTTGAAATATATGATTTGAGATCTAATCTTAATATTAAAAATATAGAATGCAGGCCTCGGTATGTTTTTTTACAAGTATTTTGAAACATGTTCAATAAAATATTATACATGAATGACTTAACTATTATATTAGCTGGTTTTTATTATTAGCTATTAAGGTTGCATATGAATAATTTGTGTACAAAACCAGCTTATAAATAATAATTAATTATATTGTGCAAGAATCATCACTTTCATGACGCGGAAATAATAACGCCTGAGTCTCATCATAAACCCGCAGCATCCAAACAGCAAAGTAATAAACTTTGCGTTGTATCATGTCTAATTTAAATATACAATTTACATATTTTATAAAACACAATTCATATATTTATAATAATTCTAAGTCCAGCTTGAATTGAAACAAATCCGGTTTAAACTAATAGACCTAGATTTGGTAATTGAATCGACAAATTTTTAAGGACATACATAATGTCCTTCTATAATTAAACTTATAATATGTTGTTAAATGAACTCATTAAAATATAAAATTTATTCTAAATGAATTTGTTAAATATATACTCTGAAAGCAAATCCATGTTTGTGTATATTCATATGTATGTATTGGAGCATAATTATATTAAAGTAATAGGTTATATTGCATATAGTCTCAGGTCTCTTTCTCTAATATTAGTTGTAGCATTAATATATTATATATATAAAAAAAAAGTATTAATATTTAACTTCCTTAAGGGTAAGATATAGTATTCACAAATAAATTGAAAATGAAATTTTTTAAATATCTATACGTTTCAAAGGTTTCTGAACATTTTGGCATACTTTACGATTATAGCAAATAGATGTATGTATGTGTGTGTGTGTGTGTGGATACAAATTTACGTAGACGATTTCGAGAACACGAGTCAGCCGTTTTGAACGATTAAAAAACATCATTTTTTTAAAAAAAAAAACAATTTTTTTTTTAAATTTAAAAATCTCAAAAATATGTTTTTAGATTTCTAAAAGAAAAATGAATCTTTTTTAAATTTTTTAATTTTGGGTTCGAGAAGTTCCAGCAATTTGCCTTAAGGTTCAAAGCCATGCATCACTAGATAGTTTTAAATTTTAGAAAAAAAATCTTTGTAGAATTATCATCACTATGATGTTTGATACCTTTGAATAAATAATCGTGTGGCACTTTGCCAGAAGACAAGTCACATAAAATAATGTAAATAATTAATATTGATTTATACAATAAGTAGCATATTTTTTCGATAGAAATTTCTTTTTTTTGTTCAAGTCATTCTGAATAGTGTGACATCAACATTGGACAAAGTGTGTATATTAGTGCATGTTTTTTGTATATAAGCCAATAGTATTTTTCGGTTAAAGATCGTCTTTGGCATGTAATTGATACAGTTTTTTTATTGTTATTTTCAAGAAACTATAGATTCATAGGATTAAAAGTCAAAACAAACAAATCTAAAGTAAAATGCTATAGGCTTACAAAATGTGGTTTAATTATAAAAATTCATTAACGTTTGGAATAATCGACTACGCCTTCATAACACATATCATTTATGTAGTAAATTCCATTCTTTATTCAATAATGTAAAATATTTATAACTTATCAAAATATAATTATATATAGTAGTAGAATTGTGAAGTATCTTAAATATCATAACGATATTTGGAACACATATGATTGTAGAAATGATTCAAATTGCATTTGCCTTTCATTCACTACTGTTCAGTTTAGAACATTTAGCAAATTTGATAATTTACAAATGACTTAAACAGAAGACTTTGTATTAAGTAATGAAATATTGCATTTAACTCAATAGTTGATTTCTTATTCGATAGATATATTATATCAGTATTCTAATGATCATAATATAATTCTTTAACACATTAATTGCCATGTCAGTCATACGTGTCTGAGGCTAAGAGTTGTGTGTGATGTAAAAAATCGTGAAATAGTTTTTCCATAAAGTTTTGCAAAAATAAACTTTGATACATTGGGTTTCATTGATACATTTTTACGTAAATTATTTGATAAAGTTATCATGACCCATGGTAAAATTTAACCTATAATATAGTAGCGATTAACGTGTTAAATTAATATAATTAGGATCTAACAAGTAAATTTAGTTCTTACATTGATTTATTTCTAGTAACAATTATCGTTTCAACATCCAACAGTTGATTTCTTTAAGAACATCCTTTACATTTGATCCCCTAATTGTGCCTTCTATGACGTCACCCTGTTGGATTTGTTATTAAATCTGGCAACACCTAGATAGGGTCGATTGATATTTAAAAATATTGCAAATTCAGTAATCGAGTGACGCTCGAGGTGTTCGGATCGGGTCGTTTGTTGTCGGTGAGTGTCTTGATTTCGGTAACAATAAGTGTTATCTTTTTGTCGAAGATGTCGTGTGTGATTTTATCAATGACATTTGCAAATAAAATGGTGAGTGATAGATTTTGGTCATTAATTGTTGTAATATTAAGAGAAAACTATTTATTTATTTATTTACTGCCGACGTTTCGGAACTAGGTACGTTCCATCTTCAGGACATCTGCCAGAAACATGATCTTGTTGAGATTTAAGCAAATAATATGTTTAAGAAAAGAAAATTGATTTTCCTTAAATAATAAATTAGTTGAAAAAATATAATAATGTACAGAAATATGATAATATGATCAAAATGAAAATGATAAAAAAATGATATATATATATATATATATATATATATATATATATATATATAATAGGGTTCCTTTATGCAATGCATTATATTACTTTCCATAATATCATTTCAATCAATATAAAGTTCTGCATTTAATTTACATTATTGTAAATAAGTAGTTAAAGTATAAATATAAATCTACTACCACAAAAGTTTGAAATGATATGTGATTGACATTGATTCTTGATGATAATTATGCATATCTATACCGGAAATGGTCAAAATGAGGCAAAGAGTATTTTCTTTAAAAAAATCTATTAATTTATTCTCTGGTTGAGTCAAACAGCACAACATGAGGCTTAGTGTCAAAATACAAATTCATACAACAAATCTAGTTGAAAAAAATTAACATATAACGAAGAAATAAACAAACATGAAATCGACAGGGTAACCATACTTTTAGAACATTTTTTTGCATATTACTTGGATGCCTTTCCGTATTTTTTGAACGCTCATAAATGACATATATATATATATATATATATATATATATATATATATATATCAAGGTGAATTTTAATAAGGGCCGTTGCAACGCAAGGCTGGGTATGCTAGTATATATATATATATATATATATATATATATATATATATATATATATATATATGTTAAAGTAGTTAATTTTGATGTTGAGAAATATGAGTAAGTTCTTCAAGGGCATACATCAAATAAAAGTCAAAGATTTAGAAGTTAATCTTTAATTTTTCCAAACGTTTCGACATAGTATTTTATGTCATCATCAGTGGATATAAATATGGTCTTACATCAGTAGCTAGCGCAAGGAACATAATTTTGCACTATCATATATGATATATATAGATATATATGAT